TTTTTTTTTTTTTTTGGCGTACTTTATTTGTGTCCCCACTTATTGTGGCATAATTTATTTCTTAGCTGAGGATTTACGGGCATTTATTGTTCAAAAAAGAGGAAGTTACTGGTATCGGTGCTATTGTCTCTCTTCAGCCAGTAAGTAATTTGCATTGTTTTATATTTAAATAAATTTACTTTATGCTCACTGGGAAACATCACAAATGCTTAATTTAAATGATACACTGTTGGTAATCTTAAAAAGAAGGGATGAAGATAGAGGTTGCCTTTACCCAGTTAGAAGGAAAGTTATCCCTTTCCGGCAGGGCAGGTCAAATCTTCAAGAGAGTATTTTACATCAATAAAGACTTAAATAAAACACTTCCTTGATGCCGCTTCATGATTTCCAAATCTTCTATATTTAATAGGGAATCTTCGGAAATAAGAGTTCACTGAAGAATCAACTTCACATCAACAGTTAGAGGCTTAACTGAGCAATTTCAACATTGTCTGTTCCTGTGGAGATCTATTAAATTACACTTAGAGGAATCCTTCAATCTTTCTTTAGTATTCTTTGTGGACTTGTACTTTAAACCATGCATTTTATTTTTAATTTATGCCTGAAAGCCAAAATATTATGCAATTACAGTTATTTTTAATGGCAATCAAAATCTTCAGGTAAAGAACAGCTGATATCTTAAGGAGAATTCTTTGAAATCCATGTTTACACTGTATTTAATAGAACCAAAGTCTATCATTTTCATTCATACATATATATTGGAAAGGTTACCAAAACAATACTAAAATATATTCTACCAAAAATACAGTTGATATAAAAGCTTTTTCAAAGTTACAACAGCATATTGTACTTTGTCACTTGTCAGTATAATAAAAGCTTATTGAGAATTGGAAAAAATAAGCAATTATCTAAAAGAGCTTCTATTACACCTCTCTGGACAGCAGCAAATTCAGCATATCTCATAAATATTTTGGAAAGACTTTCGTATTAAATACAGATAGCACATTTTCAGTTTATGTGGCTGTTTTGGTTTTGGAAGACCATTTTAGTAGAAAGTAAAACTAAAACGCCAAAATGGAAGCATCCATTCAATCATTTGTAAATTCAAATAGTTGCAAAAAAAAAAAAA